TTTTGGTGATAATCCAGAGAGAAGAAATCACCTTAAACACTTGTTTTTATGAGATACAGGTTTATGGCTCTGTACATTTTATGGTAAAAATGTTTGGCACGATGCCTTAGAGAAGCATAAATAATATTTTCTTAAAAAGAGAACTGAAAATATGGAAATTTACAAGAGAAGAGGATGCCCTTCCTGGTTATGAAACATGTTCATCACTGGACGCTTTAATTACAACTTCTTAGGAGTTTATAGTATGTTGTCCTCATTAATCCCCAATCAGAGGTTGAGTCATCAAAATAAATCTGCAACCTACGCACACAGTTACCGAGCAGCCCTGCTCCCTGCGTCCTGGAATATGATATATGACACCCTCGGCCCTTTTGCGGCTGCTGTCTCCAGCTTTTCCAAGTCGAAAGCAGAGCCCAAGATTAGAACAACATATATTTAAGGGTGTGTTTTTGTGGATGCTAGTTGGGACATGAAGACAGATGAAGGAGTGATTAAATGTGGAGACTTCACTGGGGAAAGAAAGCATTTCCAGTGCGAGAAGTTGAAGTTCATTTTAATGTATAAGTATCAATTTTATCATTGAGTGGACAGACACAGGGTGCGTAGGTGTGTGTGCGTGTGTGTGGGGTGTACCGCCACAAAATGATACAGAAACTTGGCTATAGATTTTTTGAGAAGAGGACTTGGAGGTCTCAGGGTGAGGAAGAGATGAGAGACAGGGTTTTCTTCTGGACTTTAGCGTGGAATGATGAAGCTCAAGGGAAACAGATTATCCAAGGTAGATGGATGAAGTCATTCTGATAGTCGTGAATTCAAAGTAGAGTCTAATCAGGTCCCTCCTTCTGTTTGTGGGGCCAGCACTAACTAAGCAGGATTCTCCAAGCTGCTTCATCACTCCCTGCGATTGTGCCCCAGGAAATTCTCCCGCCTCACCCCCAACCTTCTCTGGCTGAGCTGTTCCTTGCCAACCACCCCGAGACTCCCCACAGCGCAGCCAGCCCAGCTTTCTCATCAGGGCTGCAGCGTGGGGAGGAGGGTAGGTAAAAGGGAACCAGCCAACTCTGGGAAAACTTCGTCGTCAGGGATGGCTGGGGTGTTCGGGCTTCCCCAGCCCTCCCTGACCGCGCAGCTTGGCCTTCACTAACGTGCTGCAGCAACTCCTGCTGTGCTCGGAGCCCGCAGGTTCTGAGCTGCAGAGACCTGGGCGTAGGGCAGCAACGCTCTCCCACCCAATGCACCCAGGACGCGGCGGCCGCCGGCCCAGGGCTGCTGGCTGGGGGTGGCGAGTACAGCGAGACTTTGCGCCACGCTGCTTTGTTTTCCTGCGGCAGGAA